CTTCCTTGCTTTTTGGGAAGTTTTTGGTTCACTTTGGAGGTAGGTTATTGATTCACCGAAGACTATTTTTTCACATTTTTCTTCATGTATGGAATATTAAGTTACCAGCCACCTACAGCCTGGAGAAAAATTTTACTCTGACTTCAAAGTCCAGACAAGTTTATTTGTGTTTTCTCTTCAATAAATGATCATGTTTTAAGGATGCAGCATAGTTTGCTTTTTATATTGGTACTTATATCCACTTTTTCATGTTTTCAGATAGCTGTATACCATCTTTAATCATTAATTTCAGCTTTTTTTTCTGGAACCCATAAAGCAGCAGTCAGTTTGATTCTGGTGATGGTAGAGTGCAATGTGGTCAAGATTAAAAAAATATTATAACAATATATATCATATATATATCATATACATATTATACATGTATAGCAATATATATATTACTATAAAAACGCTATCATAGCATTTGTTCCAATTGCATAAAATCCTAGATATCTAATTCTGTGCTTGTAAGTATGTTTTTAAAAGTTCTTTCGTAATATATATATATATGCAGTAAGTACTATCTATCTTATCTATTTTCTTTTCAATCAAGCTAGTGCTGTGAGAGAACAGCATTGTTAGCATTCTGTTTTAAAAATTTTGATCAAGCACTGTTAAGTTTTAAAATAGAACTGGTTACAGCGGATACATAGTACAATAAAATGTATTTCCTTAACTACTGTAGAAGAATTTCTTAGGAAAAGAACCCAAGAGTCTGTTGAATTCTAGTCTATTAAGACATCTCTTTGCATGTTATAACATCTTGGGCTGCCTGTTTTATAGGATTGGAATCTTCATATCAAATATGAATTTTAAACATCTGAGGGTATTTATATTGGTTATATATATAATTAAATTATTCTAATAAAAAAGTGAAAAAAACACAGAATGGTTGAGGTTGCAAGGGACCTCTAGAGATCACCTAGTCCACCCCCCTGCTCCAGCAGGGACACCCAGAGCACGTGGCACAGGGTGGCATCCAGGTGGGTTTGGAAGATCTCCAGAGAAGGAGACTCCAAGGAGGCTCTGGCATCCTCCCAATAAAGAGGTTCTTCCTCACATGGAGATTAAACTTCCTAGGTTTCAACTTACATCTGTTATCCCTTGTCTTGTCAAGGGCCACCACAGAGAAGACCTTGGCCCCATCCTCTTTATACCCTCTCCTCTGGTTTTTGTACAAGTCGGTAACATCCCTTCTCAGTCTTCTCCATGCTACACCAGTAGAGCTCACTTGATCTTTCCTCATACAATAGATGCTCCAGTCCCTTAATCATCTTCGTGGCTCTACACTGGACCCTCTCTAGAAGCTCCACATCCCTCTTGTCCTGAAGAGCCCAGACCTGCACCCAACACTCCAGGTGCGGCCTCACCAGAGCTGAGCAGAGGGGCAGGATCCGCTTCCTTGACCTGCTAGCAACGCTCCTCCTGATGCAGGCCAGGATCCCATTGGTCTTCTTGAGTATCTCATTATTAGGAAAGATTTTCAAGATTATCTCATTTATATTAGATTTTTTTAATTCTGAGTAGAGGTATACTCTCGGTATAATATGTTCTGCAAATATAAATATATGAGGTCATGAACCTCCCTGCAGTAAGAGCACAACAGGAGCTACCATCCATAGGAATCACTTTTCCCATAGCAGTAGTAATGTGACTCTGCTGCAGACCAAACTAGAAGCCCATCCCAAGGCTGCTGCAATGCAGAGGAGCAATGGGCTGTTCCAGGAAGTCTCTGCATTAATACATTGGGCCTTCCCTATAGATGTCTTTTTGAGCAGAGAGGTTATGGTATAAAGGCATCAAGCTGAGTCACTCAGTTTTGCTTTGACTCCATAGAAAATTAAGTTTCATCACTTTTATCCCTATGTGTACAGTATTGTAAAGTGTATTGTGTACACCAGGAGCAAGCAGATTAAGATGGATGGATGCTAAAATATTAAGTCTATAAACATCTGTTAAGCCAAAACACTCTGGAGAAGGTGCAGCAGACAAAGGCTTTTTGAGGAACAGTGGTAACCTGCCTTTACAAACATCTGGTCTAGCTGGTGTTTAAGATTCTACCTTTCATCCTAGTGACCTGTTCCCAGGAGTAAATACTTTTCACTCTGTCACTCAGGATTTACAGGTATAGTAGGAGACCCAAAGAGGAAACTATTTTAAGAAAAAAAAGGGAAAAAGAATGAAAGTCTTGAATTAAAGCATACCAGATAGTGATGGAAAAATGACAGTGAAGTTACTTATTTAATAAGTTATGCAAAGAGTATCTTTTAGGCATAATTAGCTTATTCATCTGGGTAAGGGAGGGAGGAGAGGGAGGGGAAGAAGGGAAAGTATTTATCAGAGACGGTGCCCATCATATTTATATGGAATTTTCAGGTACCCTTGCATGTCATTACATACACAAGTATAGGGCATCAGAAGTATTAAGAGAAAAATCCCCACCAACCTATGATACCATTGGCATGGTCTGCAGTTACTAGAGGGAAACTTCCTGGTGGGTGGCTTTGCAATTGCATATCTGCCCTTGTCTGCTGTTGCAAGGAGAAGGGCTTTTGTCTTGGTATTGCTTTTACTTCACCCCACTTGTTTTGATGTTGTTAGTGCATTTAATATTTCTCTAGGCAGTCATATTTAAAATTATTTTTTTTCTGTCTCCTCTCTTCTGTAGTTAATGTAGCACTCTCATCCTTTACATGTTTACATGGGTCACATGCCCCATAAAGGTGCCTCCTTTTTTTTCATGGGTCCCAGGCCCCATAAAGGGTCCCCCTTTTTTTTTTTTTTTTTTTTTCTCTCATTTTTATGAATGTGGCCACTACAGTCACAGCATTTCTAGAATTTATGAGGTTTACCAGCAGTAGTCTTAAATGGCCTAAAGAACTAAAGTCACAAACTATCTTGGGCACTATATGGGCTTCTCTAGTTTTAATCAAAGATTTTGATCTAGCTATGATTTTTTTTTCTTTTTATGAATAATTTATTAGAGAAACACTGAATCATGGCATTCTGTATATAGAAATATAGGTTATACTAGACAAATGAACCTTATGCTTATTTTTTTTCTCTGCCACATTCTCCTGAACAACAGCTGTTTCTTTTTTTTAAAGTAGCCTTCCTTTTGTATTTACCCACATTGCATCAATTGAGGGAATAATATAACAGATATGGGAATAGCCAGTTAGAAAATACATTAACACTATTTGTCTGTTGCTTAATAATTACAGAAGACTGAGAAGGGAATGAAAGATCAACCTTTTTGCTAAGGATAGTACTGAGCTCAGATATATATGTATAGTTCCCACTGGCTTTGATAAATGTATCAAGTATATAAATCATTCTAGAGTTCTAATTTTAAACATGAAATGCATTTTCTTCTATCTATTATAATTTTTAAGCTAATGCAAAACACGCAAACATACAAGCATTCTCATGTCATTGGTAATGTAAATAAACATGCCCATAAATTATATTTCTTTTATTTGGATGAGTACATGGTACTCAAACGATCTGTATGGAAATATGTGTGTGTATACAAATATCTCTGTGTAAAATTTGCTCTTATATTACAAGCTCTAGAAAGTCTACATTTGAATTGACATTAAAACATTATGAAAGAACAATGTCTTTTACCCTGCTCTCACCCATATTTTTTTATGTACCAAGACATACACTTAGTTGCTTGAAGGTGTGATATCTTCTCAATTTTCTAATCAGGATTCTTCACAGAGGATTTTTATTCCCTATAATAACTTTCAACATAATTTTATATAATTATTTCTTTTGTTAAAGTACAATATTATATATATATATTTTTTGAATAATAAAGCAGTACCGTAGTTACCTCTTAAAGAGCCAAGAGCTGTTAGGCCATTAAAGCTTGGTGGCTTTCTGCTGACAGCATATTGGTGATAGATAACCACTAACCTGAAGATTATTTCAGTTCCCCTTTTCACAGAAAGAAATTCAATATTATTTAAATTAAAATTATCATTTTAATTTTAAAACACCTCTTTAAGGAGTACGGTGATATATATTGTTACACAGATTAAGTAATTCTCATCAGTTGTCAATCAAGTGTAACAAGACTGAGAGTTAGTTTGCATGTTATTTATTTGAACTAAATCCCTAACAAGCTTCGTCTGCTAATTGGACTTAACATTTATGTTGCTAAATGAGAAACATTTTGGCTGCAGTATAGGGTGGTAAGACCTACCCAGTGGAATAAACAACTAACATCTGTTATCCTGTCCTGCTCCAGCTTGGCTTTTACCAGTTAAGTACCTCAGCCCTAGAGTCAAGGTTATGGAGTATGTGGTTCTCTGGCTATGGTGCGTATATATGAAAGGAAAGAAATAACATGAGTAAAGACCAGCCAACCAGAAGATATTTAGTGCAGCTGGTCCACTTTGCTTTAACCTCTACAAGCCCTACAAATATCAAAACAAAAGCCAAGAGAAGGATGTATGTTTTATAGCAGTTGTCAACACAGCAATTCCAGTGAGCTTACAGTGGTCACCATTAAAACAGATTTGACATTTAACCACCTTTAATGCGCCTTCAAGCCTGAGACACCTTGGTATTTCTTCATGCTCGGTATAGAAAGTAATTGTAGAATCCCAGGAGCTCCTAGCTAAATATGTTTCAACAGTAACCACTCTTTAAACCACTATAAAACTCAGAATTTTATATAATAATTTTTGCCTCTCCTGGTAAGAACATAAATACACAGAAACAAATTTGAATCAGTTTGCCCTTCAAAAAAAAAAGCTTTTTTAATGTTAGTTTACTTCCATTTTCTTCAAGATTTGATGTTTGTTTGGAGTCAGCCCACAACTGTGCAATATAAATGGGTAGTATATAGTGTTTCATTTTCTTGAATTCTAAACACAAAAGGGTTTCGTGTGATCAAGCAGAAATATTTTGAGATGCAATTGTGACTGTTACTTCTGTTTATAAAGCAGACGTTGACCTCTGACTTGGCCAAGTGGCAACAAGAGAAGGAAGATTTACAGGGAAAACTGAAGTTGAGAGAACATCTGTCCCAAACTGCTAGCAAGAGTGAAGCAACATCAGCTCTCTCAAAGAACATTGATTTAGAGATGAAACAGCTGCAATGCAAACTGAAGGTGACAGAACAGATTATCCATGCTGAGGATAATTCACAGGAACACTGTATCGTAAACTGAGTCAAGCAGATACACATATACACTCACATATGCATATCATTTATATATGCTAAATTATGATTGGTAACATAGGTGTTAATTAATCTTTGGTATTAAATAGAAATATGAAGCTACCAAGTGTTTTAACAGTTGTAATTAAAGCAGATCCAATAGGCCAGACTAGGGGGCTTGCCATATAGTGACCCAAATGCATCATGCTGAAAGTGCTGTGAAATTAGTTTAAATGAAATTGGTCATTTCTTGCTTCTACTAAGAAGACAAACAATGATTATTAGTAAGAAAGAAATCAGAGTGATTGTGTGGCTCACAGTATACATATATTGGTTATCCGTTACAGATGAGTGTCATCCTTCTCCAGAAATATAGTAGTAATTGCTCTGTGAATGTAAAATTAAAATAGTTATGATTTCTCCTGTAAGCTACTCAGAAAGTAATGCTCATGCTAAAAACTTTCATATCTGTCTGCCACATGTAAACTGCAAAATACATTGCTGAAATTCAGCAGTTTTTTTGCTTTTGTAGCAGAAACTATCACAGCACTGAACAGAAGTTTTTAACATAATCCTGTAGGTATCTGATGTCAAAAATTCTAACAGTGCCTTTAGTTCTTTTTTAAAGAATGGTTACATTTTAAATGTAAGAAAATAAACTGCTTGTGCAAAACTTTTTTTAAAAGATGCCAAATGAAATCTGTGACTCTCAAATCTAGATTAATTGGCTCAGTCTTTTGGTACATGAATAGGGTGTGTTTTTACTATAATAACATTAAAAATTATGTAAGTCATTCTGAGCAGAAGAAATGGACAAAAGTTGTCAAGTGTTGTTTGGAGTTATCTAGTATGCTTATGAAGATATGTAAAATTATCTGAATATATCAATGTGCAGCCCGCAAAATATTTCCTTATAGCTCCAAACCACAAAGTCCTTTTTTATTTGTGATTAATTTATTCTTAGTGCTATCTTTGCAATGTTTGTTTCATGTAATGATTCCTTATAACTTTGCCAAGAGGCGGGAATGTGGTAGATGTGTGGTGTATCAGGAAGCAAAGTATCTAAGCATATGCCTTTGCTTCTGAGCTTGTGCAGAGGCCCCTGCAAGTATTCACACTCATATCTGATGTGTTAACCTTGTAACTGGGTGCTAGGTTCGTGCTAGTAAAGTTCAAACTCAACAAGCAGGTCTCAGGAAACTCAGGAATATTGTGTTACTGTATATAATTTGAACGATTTTCTGGTAATACCTAACATTGTAATAATAGTAAATAGACTAGACAAGTTATTAAGAACAATATTTTACATCTAACTATGCACACAAAAATGTATACTTCCCTTGAGGTGCAGAGTGTTATGTACAATACTGCGATTAATGCTAATGAGTGTTCCAGTCTGCACTGAGCAGAGAAATTCTCAAGTATCTTTTGTTTACATGATTTCTGGTATTTTCACTCACAGTTTATATAAAATGAGTGAAATTCTGAGGCTTTTGCACATTGACTGAACCTGCAAAAAAATGCATATATGTTGTGCATGCTCTTAACACATGTAAAGAGTGTATGCTACACCATCTGGAATTTTGAAAACTCTGCATGCTCTTTGAGGTCACCTTTTTTCAGAAATGGCTCTCAAAAGCTGTGTTTAAGTTCTTAAGTCGGCTAGTTAGTTAAATTCATCTATATATAAATTTTAAGTAGACAATCTCTGTGTTTGTATGAAGAAATTAAGATTTTTTTTCCTTTTCTAAAAGATGTAGTGAGGAAGAAATAACTAGAAATTACATAGACATTCACTGGAATTACAAATGGCTTAGATTTAGGATGCAAATGGTTTAGAGTTAGATTTTTAATTACAGGAATGAAGGATTTGTGATGGTACAAGTGAATGCAGTTGTCTTGTGTCTTTCTGCTTGACTTTTAAGGAACAGAAAAAAAAAATTACTATTGTAGGTTGTCTTATACTTTCAAATGCACAAGATCAAAGGGATTAATGGAAACTATTGCTTTATAAATGTAGGCCCTCAGTGCTCTAGAACTATGCCTTTCAGGACATAGTTCAAAGAAAGATCTGATTTTATGTTTCATCTTTTCTATTGCCTTTCCTGTTGGCCATGCTATTGCTAGAGAAAATTTGGCCCTGTTATGGGCAGTAAGCCTGCAGGTGTCCTGGGGAACATACATTAATCATGTATCATTGTAGCTATGCAGCAGTGCTACCTTTTCTGAGGAAAAAGCTTTTGCTTGATGAAAAGTAAGAATACTGTTTTTGTATAGTAAAACAGACTCCAATTAATGTTAAACAACATTCATAAAATACATCAAAGTTTACTCCTCCGATTTTTAAAAATTAACTTACTGTTCATTGAGATCATATTTAATGTGCATGTGTATTTTAATATTTTCAACATAGCATTCGAATAATGAAATTACTAAGCAATCAACCAGCATTAAGTCACTGAAAAATGAAGTCCAGGAAAAAGAAGAACAGATACAAGAACTACAAATAAAGTACGTTCACTGCTTTATCCGTTGTGTTTGGTGCCACCCAGTGGCAGCTCTAAAATTGTTAACATTCTTCTGCAAAGATTTTTAAGAGAATTTTTTCTTCTTCTTTTCTTTATATATATCATCTTGTGGACTTTTAGAGATTCTTGGAAATAGGAACAGTGCATGCTAAGGTTGTATTTTGTTTAAGCTGGTGAGTGATTAGCTAGCTTCAATATCTGCATTCCAATAAGAATACCATGTCAGAATTCAGACCCTAGAGTGATCTTTTTTATTCTTGATGTAAGTCTAAATGAATTCCTCAGCACTGTTAAACACAGTGTTTCAAATACAGTAATTCTTTGCCTAGGGGCTAAGAGACATGTCAAGGCTTAGATGCTTAAACAAGATTAAATATCCAGTCTTATTTTCATAAAAAGTGCAAAAGGACAATTGTATTTGTTTTTATTTGAATAGATTAAGGTTTATTTCATTTTGAAATTTGCATGTATTGGTCCAAAGTATACAGCAGAGATTTTTGTTCTACCACCTTACTTTAACTGACTATTCTTCAATTATATTACTGTATTAACATAATCCCTTAGTATATGTGTGAACTTCTTGCTTGTCCTAGCATTTAACACTTCTCACAGTTCTTTTCTGTTTATAAAAGAATACAGTTAATTTTTTCATTTGTTTATTTGTAAAAAACAAAAAAGTAAAAGAATTCTTAGAGTGGTTGAATGGTTTTATGGTTACTAATTTCTGCTTAAAATAAAATGAGAGAAATCTTTTACAGTGTTTTCAACTTAAATTTAAAATGAAGTTACAGAATTTCATTCTTCTTTTGTACTGTTATACTGTTGTTACACTGTTTGACTGTCTTTAATACTGTTTTGTGCAAAAATTATGAGATCTTATCACCAAAATAACATTAATAATATAAACATAAAATAGATTGAAGAATTGTAATATTGTTCTATCTTCTTTATGATTTTTTATATGATATTGACATGATATCCACAGTGTCTTACTTTTAAACATACTGGTACAATTCATTTTGTCTCTATTAAAAAAAATCACCTGTATACAGATATTCAAAAAATGCTTATGTTTATTTTGTAATTTTTAGTAGGTACTTTAACTGTAGAATCATTATGTAAGGCATGATTTTCTCATGAAATACAGATCATGTCATAGAGGATGAGTTTCCTTTTTTAATAGGTTTCTGTGAAAAATGCTGATGCTATTTCTAGATTTTGCACTTTTAAAGACAAATTATCTTACCTGACATTATGATACTGCAGTTCAACAAAGTAGCAAGATTTTCCCTGTATTTCTGTGTATTATTCAGTTGAATGAAAAAACACCCTTTAAAGATTTTTATTCAAAATATTGCTTGAAATATATCTGCCTCAAGCATCAAAGAGATTTAATTAATTGAACCTTTCTTTCAGAAGATTTTTAAGCTATCAGTATACAAAAATATTATGCTTTGAGAGGGTATAATTTAAATAGAGCGTAAACTACGTCAAAAAGGCAAATCATAGGTAAATGGAATACTTAGAAATAGGTCTATTAAATAAGAAATTTGATGCTGTCTTTGATGATTGAAATTATGGTAAATCATAAGAATTTCTTCAGCTTTTTATTTAAGAAGAAATTTAGAACTGCAAGAATGTTTTCTCAATTGCATTTATACTTTTTAGTTGCTTAGAGTAATATATTAACAATATTTTATAACATTGGCTATAGTGATACTTTTGCTCTTACTCCTAGGATTTCTCGAATGGAGAGGGACCTTAATATGAAAAGACAATTGATAGAAGACTTGAGATCTCGGTTAAAGGCAAATCAAGAAAATGAGAAAACCTATAATGAAACATTACAAACTCTTGAAAAAAAGGTATTTTTTACTTCCTATTTATGATTTTACTAAAAGCAAAAGCTCAGGGTTTTGCAGGAGTTAGACTGCTACACACATTAAATCAATATAATGCTTTAAGCAAACAACATATAGTTAATTTAAGTATGTAATTCCTTCCAGTGTAATATGTATGAGATCAGGGTATGATGATAGCTTGAGTGTATTCAGCAGAATTTAATGTATGTTAATAGAAGTATAATTAAATTTTGAAGTATTCAGAAAAATGAATTGCTAGGATTTGCTGTAAGTAGTAAGTTATAGTTTTATGTACTCTACCTTCATAAAAATACAGTGGACCTGAAACAAGGATGATTTTATGTGACATAGTGAAATGAAATGAAATCTATGCACATCTCCTGGCTATACTGGTTAAATGCTTTAATATGTTAATCTGTTTGCTACTGCAATGTTATAAATGATTTATAGTTCTGCTTAGGTTTTAACATTTAACGTGATTCTATCTGTGTAGGTAGAGCTTAATATTTGTAGCAAGTTATTTTCCCCTCCAGAATTCTAGGAAAATTTCTCTGAAACTGGAACCTACGTATGTCATAGAATCTTTGTATATTATCCAAGTAAAGCACTGCACTTCGGCCTTCAATTCCTGAAAAAGATGATGACGTTTGGTGCGGTTACACAGGGTAATATGCAGTGTATGACCCCAAAATAGAAATAAACAATTTATCAATTAGCTTTTATTTTCCTAAAATAAAAGGGTGTTGCTGCCTAACTCAGACACTACCTCTGTTTGAAGTTTTTAAGCACTTCCAGTGCTAGAGGGAGATACTTGCTGCCCTACCCTGGGTGCCAAAGGTAGGGTGTTACTAAGAAATCCTCAGCCAGAGAGTGAAAGCAGGAGAAGATATGGGGGATAAAGAGAGAGAGCTATACTTGATTTTGGTTTTAGAGAAACAATTTTGAATGGAATGTTCTTTGAGTGTTTTGAGCTTTACATTTTTTATCTATTTGTTTCTAGAAACAAATTCCATACATTTCTTTGATTATTAATTAGGAAAATCAACTTCAACATTATCTTCAGCAAAAGATCAGAGAAATTCCCTAATACTAAATTCCCAAAACTGCCTGGACAGCTATATGATTAATACTGTCAGAATAGCTGAATGAAGTTTTTTGAGCATTCTGTTGTTTCAGTTTATCCTAAATCAGTGCTTGCATTATCTGGCAAAATTATATTATTTAAGAGGCTATGAGGCTATTAGGTTGTAGACAGTTCTTTTTTTTTTTTTTCTCAGCTAAATCTTAATTAATGTCTTCTACATCTGTTAAAAAAATAGTTGAAACTGTAGTTCATTCTCTCTTATATTCACTTTGGCTGTTAAACATAACTAAACCTGCAGCCATTCAAATTAAGAGCTTTTCTTATTATTTAATTCATGTCAAGATTTCATGAAGCAAAGCTATGTCCAGACTGATCTCTACTGGTTTAGTAACAGATTTATTAAAGACTACAATTTTGGAAAAACTTCAGTTTTACTTCAGTTGAGTAATTTGTATAATACAAAAGGCATACAGCTCAGTATCAAGATTGATTTGATTTTCACTTCTGAGTTCTGTATCTTAATAATCAAATTGCATTTTTCTTTGTTTCAGGTAAAAGCAGTAACTGAAGACTGTTCAAAAAAAAAAACTTCGATTGACTCATTGAAACAAAGGCTTAATGTAGCTACCAAAGAAAAGTCTCAATATGAGGAGTTGTATCACAAGGCTAAGAACGAGTTAGAGAAAAAGGTATATCGGAGTTGCAATGGCTGTATGTTGGAACCTTTTAGTATCTTGTTTTTAAAAGAAAAATAACAAGGTCATCAAGTTAGGCTTTTTAAATACATAAAGGATAAAAATAACAGAATAGTAGTGTGTCTGCCTGATTTCGTTAAGTCAGATGACTAAAAATTCAGAGACACTGAGACATATGGAGGTAATGACAGAAAATAAAATGACCTTTTTTCTATGAAATTGCATTTTATGTGTTGTAGGTAGAGTGTTGTGTGATGTGATTTTTTTAAATTGTTTTTTTAACTACAAAGATCCCTATCATCCGGTATCTTATCACTGATTTCTGTTTCTGTGTGGATTATTTCAGCATCTTAAACTCACCAATTTAGAGAGCAAAATGATTGAGACTGAATGTGCCATGACTGCTCTCGAGACTACTGCGTCCCAACAGCTCCATGGCTTGGCCAAGCAAAGTGGACAGGCTTTGGAGACTGTACAGAAGAGGTTGCTGCTCGCCAATGACAAAGTGGAAGAGTTCACAGTGTTTGTGAAGGTTTGAATTTTGATATTCTTTTGAGAGTTAAAGGGACAGATAAGACTAATATTTTAGTGTGATCCCTGTTCTAGAGCAATCTTTAAGGTCCTGTTGTCCGTTCTAAACGGCTCCAGGTCCTTCTCTTAGCTTAGAATTCCACAGTTCATACTTGTCAGCATTTTGTGTACAGCCGCCACTTGTTCCCAAGATGACATGCTTGCTTGGTCGTATTTACTAGTTCAGCTATATTAATCTGGAGCAAAATATTCTTCCTATCTGAGAAAATAATTTATATCTGTTGGCTGGTGAGAATTACCTCGTCTTATGCATTTATATGCACTTATAAAATTAAATCAAATTAAATTAAAAAATAAGCATTAATTGAGGAATCAGCTGTATTGCAAAATTTAAAGCAATTTTTAAAGCAGTATGTAATACTGCAATATTCCTTCCCTATTTTTGTTAAGTATTCAGCAAGCTGCTATAGTACATCATATAGTAATACTATGTCTGTGATGTTATATATGTAGCTTTCTCATACTAATTCAGTGTGAAGTTATGCAGAAGAGATTAATCCAAATTTTTTAATATTTGAAAAAGAACTATTAATTTTGATAAAATAGACACCATTGTAACACTGCTGCAGTTCACATAATCAAGAATTAAAATGCACATTCAATATATGCCTGCCTTGAATTTAGCATATAACTCTGTATACTAACTTTCAAACAAGCTTATATCTTAGTAACCCAGGAGACAGTTCCTCTTCATCCCACTTTGTCTTCTTTCCATGGAGGTGTGTAGAGATGAGCTGCTATCAGGTATCACTGAGCAAGTCCAGTAATATCCCAAGTAAAGAACCCGCTGTACACTGTAGCAGGGAGACATATATAGTCATCTTTTGGTGGTTTACAATGTGGACTGAAATTTCGTAACTTAAAAGAAATATATATATGTGCCTTTTGCCCTCCTTTGATCATCATCAGATAGATAGCAAGTCACTCTACACAGGGTTTTCTGGTGGCTTGTCTTTGGTGTACAATCATCATATTCAGAGGCAAACGGTTGACTGATGATGAATGAACTTCAAAATCCTAAGTTTAAAGAATATATTAGCTAAAGATATATGATCTGAAAATGTGATTGCATTTCATGAAAAAATGCCTGTTGTTAAAAATATTTTATTATTTTTAAGTTTTTAGAATAAAAACTATCTTCTATAGGCCTTGCTTCACAATCCTTGCAAATGTGATATAAAGCTGATCACATTTCCAGATGTGCCCTGTAGTTCAGAAGTATTTTACCTATTCTTCAACAAATTGTTCTTTTTCATTCTGAAAAATGTGCTTTCTTCTGACAGAGAATGGTTGCTCTAGGAGCAAGGAAGGAGTGTTCTTGCTGCAATGCTACAGTTATTTTGGCTGAATTAGGAAAAGTGTGGAATAATCTTATGTGTAATCAATTTCTTTCATAAAAGAACCCATGTTATTGATGAGAGAGAGACACAATTCTGTTTTCATTAGATTGATAGGGATTTTGGAATGACTTCGTTGAAGAGAATGTAGTTGATGGATGGATACAAAACTAATAAGGACTGAATTAGATTTAGCAGTTTTGCTCTATGTTCCCTTCTTTCTGGAATCTTTCAATTGACCAAAGTTTGTTTGTTTTTGTGTGCTCAAAGTTTAATTGATATCTAAATTTATAGAGGTTATAGGAAAGGAAGTGACAAAGTGTGTCATACTTAATGTACTCTCTTAATAAAAATATTCTCCAAAATTAGAAAATGTGGAGAATAGGCAAAACACGTATTAGGAACTATTACAATACTTCATTTGTTGCAGAATAAAATGGTTGCTTCTCTATTTATGACTGTCAATATTCATTAACATTTACATAGTTTTACTGTACACTAAAAGAATTTGAATAAGCAGTCTCTCTGCTAAATAAGTAATAATAAATAAATACAATATTTAGCAGCTAAGGTGAAATATGAAGTCTTCCCTTGCTAAAAGAGTGTACATGCACTTTTCAAGCACTATTTTTGCTGACATCTTTCCTCTGCAGAAAGATTTTGTGAATATAAAGATGCTGTCTGCAAGTCAAATACTGATGAACAGAGAATTCCTTAGCAGCCTTCTTTGTTGAGGTAGTAACTAAAAACATCTGAAATTAAATTTCATTCACAGCACAGTACTGCAAAAAATACAATTAACTTTCCTTGGTTTTCCGTGGAATTTTGTAGCATGTCAAGGTAATCCTATGAAAATACCTCATCCTATAACCATGAATGTGAAAATCAAGATGGCAATAGGAAATAACAATACTTCTTCCTGCATCATCTCTTTCTTTGAAGTCTGATGTGGCTCATTTCTGTTTTCCCCTTCCAAATGACTGTCAATTTTCCCCCGACTTCGTCTCTATCTCCCTCTAGCCTCAGTAACTTTTCCTGTCAAGTAAATATTTCTGTATAGTGATTAATCGAATTTAAAATGTCTCTTGCATAAGCTGTGTATTTGTTTTATCTGCTTGTCTTTGTCTACTATTCTGATCACTTCTCAAACCCAACTTGATTTTTTTCTGAGTGCAAATGTAATCGTCTTCTTATTTATTACATTTTTTTAGCTATTCCATGTGACATTATGTAGCTCTTTTTGCAACATACAGCTATTAGCTCATTTTAGTATAGCTAACAAATAGCTGCAGTTAATAACAGGATAACAGAGGAACTTCAGAGAAGAGAGTTCTTTAGACTTGTAGCAAGGGCTTTTGGAAAAAAAGGAGACAACAATCATTATGGCTTGTTTTGTATATGTTGTTTTTAATATATTCTCAAGCAATAAATAATTCTGTTATACAAATATCAATGGCTAATAGAAAAAAAAAAGGATGTAAATACCTGGAGTGTCTTGTAGCATTCAGGAAAATAAAATCTGAGGACTAGATTTTTGAAATGAGTGCTGCATGGAAGAAATTAAAGGTAAAACGGAACACAACGACTGTGAGTGTGTGACCCACACAAGACGAAGAATCAGGAATCAATTGTCTTTGTTGGAGCAGTTACATTATTTAAGAGTTACAAACATATATACATACATTTATGTGTACTTATATTACATATCTGTATACACATTATATAAAATGTATATAAATATATATATTATAAATATATATTATAAATTAATATATAAGTGAGTATGCTGTTGAAGGCCCTGAATCTGAGGGGGAAAAAAAGAAAGATACAGCAACTGTCACTTTACAGAAGTCTTTGGAGTGTGCAGGCATGCAGCAGGAGAGGTTATCAATAACATAAGGGAACATAAGCAATCACAACTAGTGATTCCCTAAGGGAAGAAGCGATTACTCCTAGAGTCTCTATATTAAGAGAAGACGGATAATTCAGCTAGGCCACAGACAGTGTGTTGTATTCCTTCAGAGAGAGATTACAAAGTGTATTAGCAAATCTGAATGGTGCTGTGAGCGTCTGACAAATCATCAGTGATCACAAAACCTATCAGAACCAGTAACATGGTATCACAACCATAGCAGGGACTATAGACAACTTAAGGGGTCCATGCAGCAAACCTGAAAGACATAATTCCCTTCAGCCTCCACAAGTGAAAAAAAGGCGGCAAATACAAATATTAGCTGTTAGATTTGCAGTTACAGTGAAGCCAAATACTGCAGTCTTATAATGAGACCTCATTCTAATGATCAAGGAAGCCATGTAACTAGAATGGTCTACATGGGACCTGTTTAATTTGTGGTCAGACAACCAAGAGGATGTCAAACATTAAGATTTTAGAAAACTTTTCTAAAAAGCACGAATATAAGGTAAGATAACCCAAGCAGGTTAGATTTATCTCACCAAGTATGTAAAGAGAAAATTAAGGTTTAGATTTCTTTATGTAACAGTCATATAGAAACATGGTGGGATGATATACCATAATTATACTGCAAATATTTCATGTTTATCTTTTTCCTGTCTTATATAATCTTCCATTCAGGAAGGATTTTTGTGCTAGAGAAAGTGTGAAAGAGGTGAGTATAGGTTGAGGGGGGGTAGAGTAGGAGAGAGGTGGCATTCAACATTAAAAGCCCCATTACTTGTCTTTAGAATTACTGATAACTCAGAACCACAGGATCTTGAATGCTTTGGAATCAATATCAACCCGGTGGAGGGGTTGCTGGTGGAAATCTCTTGTGTATGGCTGGGTCAAATTAGAGAGTATGACAAATTGCTAATTAGGTATGTGTTTATAAGTACAGTAAAGCATTGGCTGATTATGGGGACGTGTATGCAGATAATTTCTAGAATCTAGCACTACTTTCTAGAAACTGTGAAATATACAAATAGCAACAAAAGATTACTGCATCCAATATGCTGCAAGTAATTTTTGGACCTAATTCCGTTGTATGGTGTGTACTTCAGGTGTATACATTCAATACATTACATTCAATGGGAACCAGGAAGGCACTTCGGGTGTTAGTGGTATACACTGCTGGTCATTCAGCACGGCTTGTTCTTTTAAAGCTCTTCAGAGGAAGAATGACTAGGAGAAAATAAGAAAGGAAATCGTGAAATCGTGCACTCCAGGAGTTTATTAGGTAACCAAAGAACATAGTTCCATAATTGGAGTATAGTTCCTTATAAATGTCTATTTCAGTTTGATGGGAAATTGAAGACAGTATTTAGAAATAAAAAGGACTATACACTGAGCAGAAAATGGATTATAGGCAATAAGCTGTAAATATGAGCAGCATTAGGCGATAGAGGATAGAGGAGAGGCTAAAGATAACAAGATGAAATCTGTGGATAGCAAAGCCAAGGATAGCAGAGAAGGGGAAGGATTTAAAAATCTGCTAATAGCAAGACAAATACTGCAGACTAGATAGGATCCATTATAAGACTTAAAAAAAACCTTCTTTGGCTGCGGTAGCCTTGTTCAGTATCTCAAAGGAAAGAGACCAATGTCATTCGAAAGTGATGAAATTTCCCAGTCTATTAGTGAGATGGA